TTCCTGCGAAGAATTCCAATAGAAGTTTTCAGTCTTTCGAAGGAGTAACCTCAATGGCTCAGCCTTCTCCGCATACCCCCGTATGAATATACGCTAGTAACCGACCACTCCTAGAAACTGCCGGACCTTGGTTGGGCTATGTAACGGTGAGGGTCAGTTCAGAAGTTTGTCTAACTTCGCCGGATCTGCTCGGCGTCCTCTCGAGTCACATATAAAGCCCAAGATCTTAATAGTCGAGACGGCCCATCGGCTCTTTGTTCCGCTGACTGTTAAATTCGCACCGTCCAGCTGCTCGAGTACCGCGCAAATATTTGTTAGGTGCTGCTCGACGAATCTTCTAACTCCAGGTACAACCTCTGTCTCATCCCTGTCTACGGACCCTTTTATAGGAAAGTCATCCAGAAAAACTTCAACCTTATCAGGGATGAAGTCCTTGAGGACGGCTACCATGACTCTCTGAAAAACGGCTACCCCATTAGTCCAACCCATAGGGACAACCATCATCTGTATTAGTCCCAATGGCGTATGCATAGCCGTGAGGTGCCTGTCTCTAGGGTCAAGTGGTACCTCATAATAGCCCGAGAACAGATCACAGATGGAATAAATCGACCTACCTGCGGCGCCTTCTGCCAGTAAATCGACGTGTGGCACGGAGCCCACGTCTCGTATCATCACCGCATTGACCTTCTGAAGGTCCTGGATCCTTCGGATCTTGCCATTCGGCTTTCGTAGGAAGAACCATCGATTAGCATAAGCGCTATCAGACGGCTCCGCAACATGGGAAACCATCTTTTTTTTCAGGAAAGTGATAACTTCTTCCTTCTCCTTCTGGGCGTATTTCCATCCCTCGTCATTCCAGGGAACATGTGGTATCGTGTAAATCCTTGCTGGCTTAGCATATCGAGGGTCAATCCTACCGCGCTCCGCGTCACTAAAAGCTATGGACTTATCACATGTCTTCAGGATTTCTATCACACGTTCTCGCTCCTGTGGGGTCAAATTCCCATCTCCTTTGTCCATCCCTGCTATCCTCTCTTCCGATAGGCGTTGCGGCTCCTTTCTCTTTCTTTCTTTGATTTCTTTCGCGATCTCTTCTTTCGATATCCCTTCCAGTGCAGATCGCTCGCGACCCACCGAGGCTGGCTTAACTTTTTGAGCTACTCGCTTGTGTCGCTTGGGTAGCCCCCCATAGGGGGCCGTGCCCTTAAAAAAGACACAGATACCACACCGCCAAATTCCTCATCTTTTTCCTTTGGGTACGAGTTGCCGTCCACTATTAGCCGACTCCCTAARTCTTCSACCTCCACVATCCGACCTTCTTCCTCTGTGAGCAGTGGTCCATATTTCTTCTCGCGAAATCGCACCGCGCGGCYGGAGATAGGBAACGACTTAATCTGATCACTGGGTCTYGCACCCACAGCGAGAGCTGCTCTGTTCCTCGGGTCCCRAGGCTCCACCGTCTCAATCATTACCCGCGTCCCGTCTGGCTTCTTAATGGACAATGTTTGGCTCCCAGCAGGTCACTCTATCGTCACCGCATGCACGTGGCTAAGCCACGTTCGACCCAAGAGCAGGTCGGAGCTGCAGTTCTTGACTGCAAAGACAGGCAGGGTCACTCGTACCCCTTGGACCTCTATGGCTGCTTTGTGACAAACCCCAGTGATCTGTTGCTTTCTCCCATCAGCTGTCTCTATCTCGAATAGGTATGATCTATCGAGGCCCAATCCAACCTGTACTGCCAGGTCCTCGTCTATGATGACAGCCTCACTGCCGTTATCAATCACAGCATCGAGTACCGCTCCATCGTTTAAAATCGTCTCCACGGCCCCGCTACCAAGTATATAAAACTTGTCTGGAGGCACAACTTCCATTCCATCGAGAAGGGCTGTCGCCATGCGATCCGCTCTGGCAGTCACCCCCGTTACTGCTACTGTAGAAGCTTCCGCCTTAGGGCCCCCCTGACCCTCCTCCGATAGAGGTATGCGAGTCTTCCGCGTGATCATCTGTAACTCGTCACGAGCCGACTTCGATGCCGCCAGGTACTCCAGAATAGAGCACTGCTTGGGTTGCCGAAGGGCCCGCCTCAGTGGCTCGACCGTGTCAATCTCGTCCAGCGAACTCTTCATTAAGAACTTCTTCACTCCCCGCTTTTGCGGCGAAAGGATAACCTCCTCTCCATCGACCCGCTGCCCGTCCTTCTCCGCCATCACGTAATCCGTGTCAGTCTTCTTCGATGTAGACCCTCTCGCCGACTTGGTGGCTGYCACCCTTATGGGTGTGGTCGCCATATCCCCCTCAAAGGTTATCTTGATGCTCTGGCTCCTGACCGGCTCCTTTTCTTTACTCGGCTTTACTCTCCTTGCTTCAACATTCTCCTTCATCGAAGGAAACATCGATACATCTCGCAGACCATCTGCCCACTTGACGTACTTGCGGTCGTCAAGCACGACAAGTCCCTCATCTATTGCCCGTTTGAGGTCCGGGCAATCCCTCTTGATATGATCTTCTCCTCTACAGTAGACGCATGAGTTCCTGGGAGTAGATGGTCTGTCGTCTGCGCCTCTAGAGATCGAACTCCTGGCCGCCTTGAGGTCAGGCGACTTAGGATATGGTTCTGATGAGACGCCATATCCCCCTCTCTCATTCCGTCCGCGCGAATCGTTGCGGCGGTCTCCTCCAGACCCTCCTTGCTCATACCGCCCTCGTGAATCATTCTGGCGGTCCCCCGAGTCATATCGTCCTCGTTACTCATCGCGTCGGTCCCCTCGGTTGTACCATCCCCGCGACTCGTCGCGTTGCTCTCTCGCATCTCCCCCACACTCAAACCGTCCGCGCGACCCATCTTGCCGTTCCCAGTCCCGATCTCCTCTCTCATATTTACTTCCTCTGTAGCCATCTCGACCCGACCTCTCGTATCTATCGTCCCTATATCCATCTCGGTCCGATCCCTCGTATCCGTCGTCCCTATATCCATTTCGTCGGCCCCGTTCTGTCTCCCATCGACCGCGGGAGTCGCCTCTACCCCGATCTGTCTCATAGCGAGGGCTTCGCGGGTAATCATCTAGCCTCCTTGCTCGCACAAACAGCTCGCGTTCTCTACGGTCTCGGTCTATCTCATCGTCCCTACGTCGCCATGATTCATCGTCTCTCTCTCTTCCCCTCGTACGATAATCAGTCAGCGTSCGAGGATTTCYATCCTCGACACYCSTYCAGGGATCGYTGTTCCTACGGTCCCAGCGAAGTGAATAGGRCCCTCCAGGTTTGTCCCGGTAGRCCGTGGCCCCTGTGGCGGTCACAATCTCTGTAACCTGTCTCGTTAATCCCTTCACMRTGTCCCGTATCTCCTTCACTTCCTCAGCCACGACCTCATTCTTCTCCGACCAGGGATAATCCTTGAAATCAGGACATCTATCAGTGGCATACTCCTTGTAGAGAGAGAAGTCATGTCTCCTCATCCCTCTCCACACCAAGTTCTTGTAATCGTCTGCCTCTGCCTTTATCGCGAGCTTTAGGACTTCAAGGAAATCAAGCCTTTCGCGCGGAAGATCTCTAAGTATACTCTTTTGCCTACCTTTGGACAAGTGTCCGATGAAGATAGTACAGCGCTCGACCTCTGAGATCTTCCCCTTCTTCATCAGCACGTCRGAGATCTTYTGRAAACGCATCCCAAATGCCCGTACGCTCTCATCTTCATCTTGAGTCATTGTTTCAAGGTCCTTGATGTAATACTTGTTATCCTCCAATTTGTAAATCTCAACGAGGTTCTCCTTGTACGTTGTCCATTTCTCATCCTTCGGTCGAGCTTCCTTAACTTCCCTTCCAAGACTTGGGTCCACATTAAATAGGAAGTTCTTTATAATCTCTTCCTCCGACCACTGACTCCGGCTGGCGTGAAGCTCCCACTTCTCCAGATATTCTGTGATACCATAACCCCTGAAGGTAGGAGGCTCTGAGGCCTTGTGCGTAATAATATAGCGATCCTTGCTCTCGTAAGGGAGTGGATGTGACTCCCCTGTCTGGGGGTCGAAGACTCGCCTGGGCGGCGCCCTGTCTCTATCTCTGTCCCTCCAATAGGAATCCCTCAAACTCTCTCTCCAGTCGTCTCTGTGCCTRTCCGCTATGGTGTCCCTCCGCTCGTACTCGGGGGAGCGTCGTCTCGTCGTTTCTCGTCGTCCGCTCGAGGAACCCGTCCTTAGAGCCTCCTGCGGCTCTGTCGCAACTGGTTCGCCTCTTACGTCGGACCCTCCGTCAATGGTTTGGTCAGCCCATCTCAGCGGTGCTTCTTGCCTAATTCGTTCCTTCAGATCCCTCAGTGCTCGATCGGGCGATGTTCTGTACTCCTCTCCTACTTCGCCCGTGGTCGGTTGTTGCTCCATCGTGTCTGGTTCCATAGGCTACCAGAAGTTGTAGTCGGACACTTACGCCAGGCGTTACAGCCCGGACCTATGACAGTTGGAGCAGCCCGGACCTGTGACAGAACTCGCGGTCCCGACCTGATGTCAGAACCGGCAGCCTAGACCCAATGTCTGGACTGGCAGCCCGGACCTAATGTTTGATCCGGCAGCCCGGACCTATTAGAGCCGAAGAGAAGGAGTGCGCGGGAGGGCCGCAACCCTGATCAGCGGCATCCTGCAGTATGCAAAAAGCTTAGTGAGAAGGGCGGGCGAATGGGGGAACACCTCTAACAACAAAATAACATATGAGAAAAGGAAGACTCAGAATAGTCAGAAATAGGGATGTGAGAGAAACTCAATTGACACTGGTAGAGAGAAGTACAGAAGGAATTAGAACGGAGGCGCGATGACAGTCTAATTGGGACTTTCCGCAGATCGACCGAGCCCTTGCGACTCGGAGCCGCACTGAAGTCGTACTAATGTAGACTGATCTAAAAAGGAAAGGGTGTTGAAATCCCGGTTTCGGATTGGCCTATAGGTCTTATATTCGAGTTCCCTCGAATATAAGGTGTGGGCTCAACTCGAGGGAGTTCTGTTTACTGCACCCTCGAATAGGTATCCGAGCAACGGACCCTGTCCCCTAGTCAAGACCCAAAATTAAGAGCCGAGCGTACTCACTCTTTGAATTTTTAAGCCTTTTTCGCAATTTTAAGAGATTTTTAATCGTCTAAATTAATAAAAATTGTTTATAAACAAGAAGAAAACACTACCTCGCGCTCAGCGCATAGGGGGATGTAATGAAAACCCTAGCGAGCCGCGAGTTATACACGTGCTTCCTTCTACCCCTTACTGTTGATTTAATCCGACTATTTGATAAATAATTATAAAAAAATAACTTTAATAACTGAAAATTTCCGTCACTTGCCTCAGGCCTTTGGGAACAAGCCAGTAGGTTCACCCGAACCCAGGTTACCGCAGCGTCTCTTTCCCTTCTTCCTCTAGGGAATTCTTTTATATTTTCTAATTATAAATTCAAGAAAATATATTTAGTTGGGATAAAATCTTTTTTTTAGTTTATATATATTAAGGATGAATACATATATAAGCCCGCCGAGTTTGAAGATTATTGAGGGGTAGAAATAAAATTTGGAAAATTTATTAAAATTTCGGCAGGGTTTCGCCTTCCCCCGTTGGGATGGGGTTCGGGACTATTGTCCCTAGACAAATGCTACCTACCCAGAACTAAAGCCAAATGAAACAAGAGGAAAGTCGCTGAAAGAAACAAATTTCTAACGTATTTATAATTAACTTCCCTAATCGCTTTCAATATATTTATATAAAAAAAAACAATAATAATTTAAATTAGAAAATTTTGCGAAGTTTCGGCAGCACTTTGGCTCCCCCCCGTTGGGATAGGGTTTGCCCGAAGACCTCAAAATACCGACGGAAGATGTTTAACAAGAAAGATTAAGAACTGAAAAAGTATCTCAATCTTTAGCTAATTTTTAAGTATTTTCTTTAATTATTTAAGATTTAATTCAATAAAATTCAGCAAATTGCCGAAAAATTTCGGCAGCACTTTGCTTCCCCCCGTTGGGATGGGGTTAAGCGAAGTATCTYCCGAATCACAAAGTCGAAATAAAGTCGACTCCCCTTTCTTGAAGAATTTAAGATATTTATTTTGATTTTTAATCGATTTTTAATGACAAATTATTACTTCAAACAAATTTACAACTTAAATTATTTAATTAAAACAAAATTCCCAATTTTTATTAATTTTAATTTGGTCAACTGAATTTATACGAAATTTTCCCATCACCGGTCGGATAGAAAGACTTGTATCCGCCCGGCTACGCGCCGCCCTTCCCTAACTTAGGGTTAGGGTTTACCCTAATTAGGGTTTCCCCCAATTAGGGTTTTGGGTTTTTGCGCGCGACCGCACGCCACCATGTCCGACTTCTCGAGGCAGAAAATTTTCCGTCGGTTTGTAGTCAGTTAAAAGCCGGGTTCCAACGGATCACTTTCGCCGACTTCTGTTTCTCTTTTATTTTTTTAAAAATATAAAGAAAATCACTAATTCCTCTAAATTTTTTCCTCTTTTCCTGTCTGTTGGCGGTCACCACTCGTCCTAACGGAGTCCGCTTTCCCCGACTAAGGTCTCCAAATGTCGGGAAAAATATAAGGACCAACTTAAGTCCGGGCGGGGTTCACCTAATTTCGCTTTTTTCTTCGTAATTAAAATAATTCATGATTTTTAGAATTTTAATTAAAAAATTACAAAAAAATTCATATCTCCTTTTCTAGCCATTAAAATTTTTCAAAAATTGTCTCAAAACGTTCTCCTCGACGAGAGATCGAATTTTGCACCCCGTGCGCCTCGCGCAAAAACGCACGGATCGGGAGATATCGAAAAAAAAACGAATTAAAAATTTAAACTCATGATTTTTCATATTTTTAATTAAAAAATACAAAAAATTCCATATCTCTTTTTCTAGCCGTTAGAATTTTTCAAAAAACGTCTCAAAACGTTCGCCTCGACGAGAGGTCGAACTTTGCTCCCCGTGCGCCTCGCGCAAAAACGCGCGGATCGGAAGATAAGGGGAAAAAACAAAATACGGAATTAAAAAATAAAAATAAAAAAAATCAACTAATCAACTTTTTAAAAGCTAATTAGTTTCACTTTCGCACCCTCGTTGATTGGGGAAGGCCGTGGCCTTGGGGGTGCAGTCCCCTCCCCGCCAACGGCGCCAAAGTTGTGAGGGAACCCGGGGAAGGGTCGCCTACCGATCGCCGAAGCCAAGGGCAACGGCGCCTGTCACTCGTCGCGCCCGTCTCCGAGGTCCTCGGCGATCAGCAGGGTGATGGCCTCAGCACTCACCTGGTGCATTTATGAGTTTCATGTCTGAAGACTCTCGCTGCCTGTAGGATTATAATGAGATTAATAAATCAGAAATATTCGCCGTTCTTCGGGCTCGTCTTTAGCGGTAGGGCCCCCCAACCCCCGTCACTCTCTCTCCGTCTCATCAGCCTCACATACTCTAGGGGTCCAACCGGGCTCAGACGCCCAGTTCGCTGTATCAGACTTAAAAGTTCCCAAGCGTTCTCAGGCTTAACCAGGTATCCCCGTACAACTTCAAAAGAAGAGATTAAATAAATTATACTTTAAATAAGTAACAAATAAAAATAAGTTCACTTGAAATGTCCTCTCCCGCTGGCAGCGGGTTGCCTGATTTGCAGTTCACTTGAAATACCCTCCCCCGCTGGCAGCGATTTACCTGATTGGCAGTTCACCTCGAAATGTACTCCCCCGCTAGCAGCGGGTTGCTTGATTGGCGGTTCATTTGAAGTGTACTCTCCCGCTGGCCGCAGGTTATCTCATTCGCAGTTCACTAGAAATGTGCTCCCCAGCCATCTGTGGGTTGGCCAATTGGCAGATCACTAGAGATGTGGTCTACCGCAAGCAGCGGGTTGCCCGACTGACAGATTACTGGAAGTGTGCTCTCCCTCTAGCAGCGGGTTGCCTGCTTGGTGGTTCACTTGAAATGTCCTCTCCCGCTGGCAGTGGATTGCCCGGTTGGCAGATCACTAAAAATGTGCTCCCCCGCTAGCAGCGGGTTACCTGATTGGCAGCTCACTTGAAATGTACTCTCCCGCTGGCAGCGGGTTGC